CTCGCCTAAGGCTTTGTTTTCTTTGCTTACTCTATGACACATTATATTTTTAATTCATATATCTTAGATATATTTGTTCTTCAAGCAAGCAAAGGAGAGAAATGGGTGGGACATACCTGCAAAAAAAAATGTGTCATGGTCTTTTCTCTACTTTCCCCTGTCTTCTATCTCTAGCACCTGAGGTGATGCACACTAGGAATGAATTCCTAAATGTTTTCTGAACTTAATGGGACAAAACCGAGTTCTTACCTTGGAGAGTATGATACTAGTCTCAGCTCAAAAACTTTTTCTCGTTCATTGTTCTTCCTTTCAAATTCTAGCTGCCTGCCCTTCTACTCTCTCTCCTTTGAAGCTTTCTCCTACTAGTCTGTCTACTCTGATCTCTCTCTCTCTCTCTCTCTCTCTCTCTCTCTCTCTCTCTCTCTCTCGTCTCTCGCCTAAGGCTTTGTTTTCTTTGCTTACTCTATGACACATTATATTTTTAATTCATATATCTTAGATATATTTGTTCTTCAAGCAAGCAAAGGAGATGAATGGGTGGGACATACCTGCAATTTAAATATTTAATGAACTGAAGCAGTATAATAACCTCAATGCCATAATTATAAATATTAAATAGAATCTGAGCTAAACCTTCCTTTGAGGGAGTGTTCTTTATAATTTTCTTCTTATGTCCTGTAATAATGGGTGATTAGTAATGAGTCATGTTATATGTAACTGGCATCTGTTTTTGCCTTAGTTCTAGAGACTTAACTAGAACTCCTGAAAAACGTGATACAACAAATAATTTTCACACTAAATGTAGAAAAGTCCTATAATACATACTCATAAAAATAAATCTACTTTCACTACAAATATTCAGAATCAGATGGCTGGTTTTGGTAAAATTAAAAATTTACAGCGATAGTACTATATTCTTATGGTTACTTTTTATTTTTTTTACCAAACATTAAAATGTCTTTTGGAAGTATAAGTTACATTTTTCTATCATTAGAAAAGCATAGGGTTAATTGCTTTTACACCACTTGAATAACTTGAATGAGGACAACATTTAGTGAAAGTACTGGCTCTTTTTCCACTAATTTTGCTACTTTTCTATTTTTCCTTTGTCTGCAATATGTGAATATGGAATGGATTAGATCACAGTTTAGTTGGTTAGAGTCTTGTTAGGATATTTGTATTGTATATTTTTAAATGTCTGGAATCTAGCAGCCTTCTGGGGCTCTGTTTCTTTAAACTCACTCTCGTACCACATGCATTAGTTCCCAGAACTACAACATGATGCTCCCAAAGGGGACAGGGTTTACAGGAGACTCAGTGCTGAAATGAGACTTCTTTATCCTCATCAAGCAGTTATTACTCTGGGCCTACTGCTGCCCGTGTGCTAGGGAGCCTCCTGGGATAGATAGTTATAAGTGATGGCTTCTGCTCCATGGGTCAGGAAATGCTGATTTGCAGTCCAGGTACAAAGTTCCAAGAAGTTAAGAGCAGGAAGCAATCACATGGCTGCAATGAAGGGGAGTTGGAACAGTCCTCAATGGTAGGATCTAGATGAGCACAGTAGAAGGGAGACTCATCTGGGGAGGAAAAAGAGGCTCAGAGACATCCTGGAATATGTGTGCTGTTGTCAAGGGCCAAGCGGTAGAGCTGGAGCACCGGAGACGTGGGAGAAAACACAGCCAGGGCCAGACTGTGGAGGGCACTCACAATGAGGAGTCACTGGCTACTTTCTTGGACAATGAGGAACCTCTGACTATTTTTGGCTAAGAAGTGACACATACAACATGATATTTCAGATTAGATTATGCACAGGGTATATGGGACCCGGGACATTTGGAGGCAGAAGGTTCCACAGGTAGATTATTTTACTACTAGAGGCCCAGTGCACGGATTTGTGCATGGGTGGGGTCCCTCAGCCTGGCCTGTGCTCTCTGGCAATCTGGGACCCTGAGGGATATAGTAGTGCTGAAGCAGCAGGCATCTGGGGAGGAACCCCAACCGGGGCCGGGCGCAGCTCCACTGCCTCTCATCCCGGCCCCACTGCTCCTGCCACCACCACCGCCATTGCAGCTGCACTCACCAGCCATGAGCCCAGCTTCTGGCTGAGTGGAACTCCTGCTGTGGGAGCCCACTGACCATCAGGGGAAGCTCCTGCACCGAGTGTTTTCCCCCTGGTGGTCAGTGCACATCACAGCAACTAGGGAAGCTCCTGCACCGAGTGTTTTCCCCATGGTGGTCAGTGCGCATCACAGCAACTGGTCAGCCAGTCATTCTGGTCGTTCGGTCGTACGGTTGCTTAGGTTTTTATATATATAGATCATACAGAGGATAGACAGGACTGGAATAATGGCAGAGGAATGAGAAGGAAGGATTAAGCTACAAGGGAAAGCGCAAAAGATGAATCAATAGGCTTGGCTAGCTGACTCAGTGTCGGGGGAGAAAAAGAGGAGTTAAAAAACTTACTTTTGGGGCCTTAATTTTTACACTTTGTATTAGATACCTACTAACTTGGCTGTTGAGGTCCAACCTCTCTCCTCTATGGGGTGGGGCAATGGGGGAGGGGGACTGCCTCACTTCCAGACATTTCACAGATGGGCACAGTTCAATCCTGTGCCAGGAATCTGGAATTAGGCACCTAGAGAATGGTCTCCCTATGAGGTGTTGGTTGTGTCCATCTGTGAGCTGGGAAGCTGAAGAAGCTGCTTTATAGAAAGAGAAAAATAAAGCAGAGGTGGATAAAAAAGTACGAGAGGCAGAGAAGCAAAGGTAGGTCTGGGTTCCCTCTTATACTTTAGTCTTGGCTTTCATGTGTCTCCAAAATGCATCCCTCCCCTGATTCTGTAGGACAGCCTATGACACAGGAATACATTCCCCTTGGATTAAGCTAGCTTGGCAGGGTTACTGTTACTTGTAGCAAAAATGATATATTCCTCAGTGAAAACTATCTTCAGTCATCTGGTGCTCTGGCTACTCTGATCACTTCAACACTTTACTAGTCAGTAAACATTTTCATGCCATTTCTTTCATCTAGAACAGCGATTCTCAACCTGTGGGTCGCGACCCTTTGGGGGTCGAACGACCCTTTCACAGGCGTCGCCTAAGACCATCGGAAAACACATATATAATTACATATTGTTTTTGTGATTAATCACTATGCTTTAATTATGTTCAATTTGTAACAATGAAAATACATGCTGCATATCAGATATTTGCATTACGATTCATAACAGTAGCAAAATTAGAGTTATGAAGTAGCAACGAAAATAATTTTATGGTTGGGGTCACCACAACATGAGGAACTGTATTAAAGGGTCGCGGCATTAGGAAGGTTGAGAACCACTGATCTAGAATATTTTCCCCTGCCCAATCCTGCTCATTCCGCCTGTAGAAATCCTGACTATGCTTCCTTTCTTCCACCTCTCTCCTTTAGGTAATTTTTGAGTGAGTGATAATATCTGTACATTGTAATGTCTTCCCACTTCAAGTCCCTGCTTTTAGTGAACTAGAGGAAGAATAATTTAAACTATTTAAATAAGGTAGAGGTAGTGGATGGTAGTAGGAAATCAGAAAACTTTTGCTTTCACAAATACATGTTTAAACAAATTCAAAAGACAGTGATGCACTTGTCTACTTATACCTTTGACTCTAAGATGGATTCAAAGAGGTACAAGTGGGCCACTTGGCCAAAGCAGATATTTCACTTAAGGAAGTATATTAGGAGTATTAGATGGAAAGAGAAAAAATAGCCTTTAAACAAGCAATGTATTATACATCATTACATAAGTACTATAAATTCAGTCTTATAAACATCCAGAGGAAGATCTACAGTAAGGAGAGGCAGATATGGAACCCACCAATACTTTCTCACTCAAAACCCAGGGCTTTGTCCACTGTGTGGAAGAAATGATAAATACATCAATTTTTAGGTGCAACAAGGAATTTAATTTTATATCTTCAAATAATTTTTAAAGCAATGATGTTTTTAAATTATCATCCATTAAAATAGCTATATACTCCAGGGACCATGTTGAACCTAATGTTTCAGCTACATTATATACAAAAATATATTGTTTTTCTCCTCTTTCTCTATTTAAACACTACAGAATATTTCTTAAAATGGTCTCTTTTTACCTCTATAAGTGAGAAAACCAATCTGCTATCCTGTGAAATCTCACATAAATTCAGAACACAAAGGACTATACTTTCCCTTCAGCAATGGAGCCTTTGTTCTAATAACATAATGCCTTGGGAAGAAAAAAACACAACAAAATTACCTTATGAAAGCAACACAAAAATGTCTAGTAAATGGACGGACATTTAATGAACAAGATAAAATGCCAAGAAATAGTTAATGTCTCTTTTTGTCCCATTCAAAGGACACTCCTAAGATCCTAAAGCATTAACACTGGAAGATTACATGAGCAGCACTGGTTAGCAGGATGCTATTGTACAAACAGTCTGTTGCTAAGCAGGGCAGAAATATTGTTTACATAAAAATGGAAGGACCTCTGGTGAATCCGGAAAGAAAGTGATAATTTCCATAACCGAAAGAGCATTTTTATATCATTCCATTTCAACTGCTATAAACCCTGAGTTGCTTTGGCAATTGCTTATTCCCATTTTGCTGGCTCTATATCATCCTCATCTCTGCAGCTTTCCATTTACTGAATGACAGGGGGTCTTTTGTGTTTTGTTTGTTTTGTTTTGCTTTGTTTCCCCTGAAGCCTTGGCAGGAAACACCACCATGCTGTACGGTTTCTAGGGGCCCACTTTGCAATGCTCATTCAATGAATTTTTGGTGCCCCTCTCATAAAAACTTAATTGGCTTATCCTGGTAAAATTGCTGCAAATATGATCAGAGATGGCCCCATTAATAGCAACTGTGAAGGATGCCCTCCTCTAGCTTTACGGAGCCTTTCCCTGCATAGTGTTTGTTTGCTAGACTGAGAACAAAGCGCAGCACAGCTTCCATGAGAAGAGGGAAACACAAAGACACTTACCTGCATGACAATCAGGAGGTCAAAGACCAAGATGAAAGAAGCCAGGAAAGCTCTGGAAACTTCATCACTAGGCAAAAATCCCCGATTCAACTTGTCCCAGCTGATCCAGTCAGTTGTAATGACGAGTACAACCACAGAAGTCAGAGTGAACAGAACCGTCCTGCAAGGAGCAAGGCACTTGTTAAAGAACATCAGACATAATAACACACAGACAGTGGAGAGTGCATGCTATCTGTGCTAGTACATTAAATGTCTACTACCCCTGGCCAAGTACCTACCCTAAGGCACATTCACCAAAAGAAAGATGAAAAAAGAAGTAAATTAAGTGCTGTCTCTCAATTAGAAAAAAGATATGATGGCATCTCCTCAAAGCGTTTCCCTTAAGGACATTAAGATAATGATTACAGAGCAAGAAATTAACAACAAAAATATTACAAATGACCTTGGTTAGTGCAATGTGTGGCAAAGAGGACATTGGTGTGTACATTCTCACTGCATGTACATCCTTTACTGAGGGTGGTGAACATGTCTATGGAAGAGCATAGACAGATGATAAATGGGTGAGGAAGTCCTTGGACTTTATTAGCTTTTAACAAAAAGAGAGAGAGAGTTAGACCTCCCATCATTCTCCTAATAGCCTGATGAGCTCTATAGAGAAACCACCTCTACATGCCAACTTCTCCTCATAGGTCTCATGATGTAGATAGCTTGTGGCCTAGTGATCTATGTAGGTCACATGATGTCCGATTGCCCATTGCTTGTTATAAGATACTAGGGGCCTGAGATTTTTCTCTTATATATCTTTGTAGCTCCCATAAAATCTTTCATAATTATATGCAGATACAAGTTCAATGAACATTTTTAAAAATTGTAATAATTATCAATTAAGCTCTTTATTAAAAAACTAGAGGCCCGGTGCACGTGTGCACTGGTGGGATCCCTTGGCCTGGCCTGCAGGGATCGGGTGAAACCGGCTCTCTGACATCCCCTGTGGGGTTCCAGATTGTGAGAGGGCTCAGGCCAGGCCAAGGGACCCCACCGGTGCACGATCTGGCCCAGGGAGGGACGGCAGGAGGACTCCAGGACGTGTCCAGCCTGTCTTGCCCAGTCCCGACAGACCGGACCCCAGCAGCAAACTAACCTACCGGTCGAAGTGTCTGCCTCTACATGCCAACTGATGGTCAGTGTGTGTCATAGTAATTGGCCAAACGGTTGAACAGTAGGATACTTAGCATATTAGGTTTTTATTATATAGGATACTTAAATTAGTCTTTAATATTGTCATTCAAAGTAAATCTAAAATACAGATTTAATCTGCCAGAGAACTGTCCACAATGCTGTTCTTTCAGAGCTATATTGATACCTCAATATTGTTTTGAACTGTAAAGAGGAAAATAAAAGAGAAAAGTAGTTTTAAGAAATATGTATCTAAAGAAATACTAAAAGAAAGAAAATAATGAAAAAAGTATATAAATATGGAATTATACCTTAGATGAATACTTATCCATTTTGGAAATTAACAAACTGTTTTTGGCCTCCAATTTTTTATAATTGATATTCCAAAAACAATGATGCAAATTATCCTAGATTTCTCTTTTGAATTGAATAAAATACAAATTTCTAAAACAAAATTTTGGGTTTTCTCTTCAAAACATCTTATTTGGAACAAATTATTAGCATAAATTTTGAATTTTGATATAATGGATATAACAAATACCTTCTTAGATTACCACCAGAGATAAAAAATATATATTATTTCATTTTTGAAAAACAAAAATTTATAATAAAAATGCATTAATATTATTAAAATTACAAACTCAAAATAATTTGACTCATGATCTCCAAAATGTAAATTACAGATAGTCTCTACCACCATTTAGAATACCTTTGATTATTTCCAGAAATTCAAATGGATTAAATAATTATAAAAATTATTTCTACAATTCAACAGAAAAACATTGCAAATATTATATAGTGAAATATATTAAAAAAATGAGAATTTAAACAAATTTTTCTCCAGGTTAAGTGAACCTGTGTTTTGGGTTTTTTTTTTGAGTTTGAGAAACTTTAGTCAAATTACCACAATTTCTCTTGTCAACAAGGAATATAACAACCTCCATGAAGGAAAGATAAATATTGACTATTCTTCAAAGGTCCTTTTGGTAATAAGGGTAATTCCTCATCACACTTAGCTTTTCAAATGATGTCCCACAGGATGCTGTGAATAGATATAGTTCCTTAGGCTGCACTGCATGGCTGACGAGGCTGGTAAATAGGGTCCCAGGTCCCACAAGCTCATCCTTCCTTGCCTCCCCCGCCTCCTTCATGAAGCCCTTCACCTCCCTGATACTCAGCACCAAGGTGAGAAGCCCAGGAGACAGCATGCTCCAGCACCATGCTCCAGCTCTGCGGGCAGTGCCCTTTATCTTACTCAGAGTCTGTGGTCTACAGGTTAGTATTTTTAATATCTTCCCCTGCACTTTCCCTAAGAGATACCTGGAAGCTCCTTTTGTGAGGAAAACTGATTATATAGGAATTCATAGTCTAATGTTACTTCATTGGTCTACATATGTAAATTGATGCTGTAACATGAAATATTCAGAGCAACGTTTTTTAGAAGTCAAAATCTGTGAGTTTGGAATAAGTGTCTGCTGAGCAATCAGAAACTTCATTGGTTATAAGATTTTTTAAATAAATTGTTCTTATTCATGTTGATAATCTCATTGTGAATGAAATCACTAAAATTAATCGTTAAAATATTTTTTTGGCAATTGGAGTTTCTCATAATGACTGTTGTATGAGAGCTTCCTAAGAGCAAATCTGTATCAATTCACCTCTCAGATGTTTGCTTTAATATATTTCATTTACTCCAATATGTAATATTCTAAGAGCTTTTCATAGGTGTATTCCTGACTTTATTAAGTACTTCTGTTTTGACAAAGAGTATTGCCAGAGATCGCAAGAAAAAGTTACTGGTAATATTTTATTACTCCAAAGGGAAATTAAAGGAGGTATTCTGTCTGACATTTAATATTTAATACTATAAAGAGAATAAAAATGGCAATTATTAAATATGCATACATACAGCTCACAGAAAGAGCCCTAAAAATAAAGACTCCAGAGAACAGAAAAAAGAAAATGAATAGGGGAACCAAAATACATTAATTGGTCATTAGAGCTCCAAAATTATATTCAGTGCTTTGGCTAGATTTGGCTGAAAAAATAAATGTGTTGCATGTGGTTTGATTTCTGAGCCACTGCTTATTTTGTTATATTTTTACCATGCTATGATAATTCAGTCACAACACCAGTTTAAAAGACCCAGTTTGGATTTATAAAAAATAAATAACTTTTATGTGAAAAAAAGGACCGTAATAATAGCAAATTGCAATTACAGCAATATGCCACTTACAATGTGCACAGCATTGGCGTAAGTACTTTACACAAATTAACTCATACGATCCTAACCACAACCCTGTTATCACCACCCTCGATTTACAATTGCTCAAACTGAGTTACAGAAAATTCAAATAACCCAACTAGGGTTCCAGACTTCGTACGTTATGTAAAATATCAGATATAAGTGACATAAGATGACTCAAACCCAGGCTCACTCATGACGGTCTGTCCTAACCACTGTCCACATGGCCTCTCATAGGAAACACCTGCTAGGACCCTCCTGTTCCAATGTTTGTAGCTAAGAGTTCATTTATTTTCCTTGGAAAATTATCATCCGGAATACTTAACAGTGAAAACTAAAACTGACAGATGCTGACACCCACTGCCAGGCAAGAGCTAAAAGGAATATGTCCATGGCAGCAGACATGGAACCTGAGGGAGGCCGGCCATCCATACAACATCCTTCGGTTTTACTGAAGCAATATGGTTGAAAAGATGCTTACTCTGGACCATGCTTCTTGGGGAGTTCCAGCTTCTCTCTTTAAGAAGCATCTAATTAAGCAATTATCTGGATTATTTCCCTTCAGGCTGCAGCCAGCACCAGCAGGACATCCTGGCTCATCAATATTGCTGACTGGTTGATGGCCACCAAATAGAAAGAACTCATAAATAATCATCAGCTTGAGGGGTGAATCTCACTTTCATGTTTTCAAATTCTAATTTGTTTGCTTTTCCTCAATTGTTGCTAATTCCTCTTAGATGAATAAGGATTAGAACTTGAGACAAGAAGGGCTAAGAAAACTTTTCTGAGCCAATGGCTTCTGACCTCTGGGAGGGCTCCTGGATGCCATGGACCGGCTGCTAAGCAAGTGTGAATGTACATGTGCACCAGGAGTTGCCCGTCAAGTGAAGAAGCAAAATGCTTCCTGACAGGTTAGGGGACTGGCTTGTGTCACACAGACAGCCAGTGACTGAACTTCAGTGAGAACTTAGATCTACTGACTCTGAGGAGGACTTGTCCTGTGGTAAACCACTTTCCTTCTTCAGCTGAAAATCTGCAGTATTCTCAAAAATTTAATCTCATCTTGATCTCATTTGGAAACATAGGCATTTAATAGCCTCTTCAAATATTTATTTTATATGGTCACCAGAGACAGAGTCATCCATGTAAGTAAATGTAGATAATCCCCCCAAACGTGGCTTATTTCATAGTCTGAGTCATTCTAATCTAACTTCTGGATTTTCAAAAATACTTAACTCTAAGTAACTAAATTAGTTTTCCTTCTTCCATTCATAACCACTTTAAGATAGACTTATGGCATAGTCAAATTGCCTAAAAGCAGACATTAAATCAAGGGAGAGAAGAATTGGCATTAGGTTTTTTTAAAAAAAAAAATTTTTTTTCTCAGTGAATAGCATGTACCTTTATTATAATGGCAGGGGACAAACATGAATAAAGCTTCAAATTGACGTGTTCACATTAATATCATTCCTTAAGGACTTGAGAACATAGAATTGGACAAAAAAGTCAGTCATCTGTGACTGCTTTTTTATTACCAAAACATATTAACCTTTCACCCTAGAGACTGCAAAAGGATGTTAAGTTAATCTTGTAATTCTAGAACAAACTTCATACGGGATTCTTAAGTTTTCGTAGAGTGTGGGATAAAAGGTGATAAAATCATTTAAGACAGTGTTTCTCAATTAGAGCTACTTTCATAGACATTCGTGGGGAGGGGGGTTGCAAAATTTTTATGGTAA